TAACTCCTCCCACAATTCCCACATGTCATGGGAGCAACCTCAGGGGAGGTAACTGAATCATGGGGTGGAGGTACAGGAAATTGGTACCAGTAGAGTGGGACACTGCTGAAAAGATACCCAAAATGTAGAAGTGACTTTGGAACTGGGTAGCAGACAGAGGCTGGAACAGTTTGAAGGGCTCAGAAGAAGTCAGGAGAATGTGGGAAAGTTTGGAACTCCCTAGAAACTTGTTAAATGGCTTTTACCAAAATGCTGACAATAATATGGACAATGAAATCCAGGCTGAGGTGGTCTCAGATGGAGATGAGAAACTTGTTGGGAACTAGAGCAAAGATCACTCTTGTTATGTTTTAGCAGAGACTGGCAGCATTTTGCCCCTGCCCTAGAGATTCACAGAACTTTGAACTTGAGAGATGATTTAGGGTATTTGGTGGAAGAAATTTCTAAGCAGCACAGCATTCAAAATGTGACTCTTGGGTGTTGCTAAAAGCATTCAGTTTTAAAAAGGAAACAGAGCATAACCGTTTGGAAAATTTGCACCCTAACAATGCAATAGAAAAAAAAAATCCCATTTTCTGAGGAGAAAGTCAAGTCAGTTGCAGAAATTTGCATGAGTAATGAGGAGCCAAATGTTAATCACCAAGACATTCTTGGCTGAAAGGGGCCAACACAGAGCTCCAACCACTGTTCCAGAGGGTGCAAGCCTCAAGCTTTGGCAACTTACATGTGGTGTTCAACCTGTGAGTCCACACAAGTCAAGAATTAAGGTTTGGGAACCTATGCCTAGATTTCAGAAAATGTATGAAAACACCTGGATGCCTAGGCAGAAGTTTCCTCATGGAGAAATTCTGCTACGGCAGTGTGAAAGGGAAATGTGGGGTAGGAGCCCCCACATAGAGTCCCTACTGGGACACCACCTAGTGGAGCTGTGATAGGAGGCCACCATCCTCCAGACCCCAGAATGACAGATCCACTGACAGCTTGAAATGTGAACATGGAAAAGCCACAGACACTCAACACCAGTCCGTAGAAGTAGCCAGGAGGGAGGCTGTATGTAGCCTGCGAAGCCACAGCGGCAGAGCTTCCCAATACCATGGGGACCCACCTCCTCGATGTGGGACATGGTGTCAAAGGAGATCATTTTGGAACTTTAAGATTTGACTGCCCCACTGGATTTCGAACTTGTGTAGGCCAATAGCCCCTTTGTTTTGGCCAGTTTCTTCCATTTGGAGTGTCTGTATTTACCCAATGCCTGTACCCCCACTGTATTTAGGAAGTAACTAACTTGCTTTCGATTTTACAGGCTCACAGGCAGAAGGGACTTGTATCAGATGAGACTTCAAACTGTGGACTTTTGAGTTAATGCTAAAATAAGACTTTGGGGACTGTTGGGAAGGCATGATTGGTTTTGAAATTTGAGGACATGAGATTTGGGAAGAGGTGGGGCAGAATGATATGGTTTCGCTATGTCCCCACCCAAATCTCATCTTGAATTGTAACTCCCACTGTCATGGGAGGAACCTGGTGGGAGGGAATTGACTAATGGGGGCGGGTCTTTCCCATGCTGTTCTCATGATAGTGAATAAATATCATGAGATCTGATGGTTTTAAAAATGGGAGTTCCCCTGCACAAGCTCTCTCTCTTTACTTGCTGCCATCCATTTAAGATGTGACTTGTTCCTCCTTGCCTTCTGCCATGATTGTGAGGCCTCCCTAGCCACATGGAACTGTAAGTCCATTGAACCCTTTTTCCTGTATACATTACCCAGTCTCAGGTATGTCTTTATTAGCAGCATGAAAATGGACTAATACACTAATCAGTCCAGTATATTAGGTTAGTGCAACAATTAAAGGCAAAAACCAGAATTACTTTTGCATCAACCTATATGTAATAGTAAATGTCTCAAGATTTTAAAACATTAGCTATAAGCTTTCTTTTTATGTCAAAATCGACAAAGCAAAGTTATAATGAAAAGTTGAATCAATAGAAGTAACTACCTTTGACATCAAAATCATGATTTCTATATCCATTATGGGTCAGTAACAAAAGACAGAAGCTTTTAAAGGCATTTTACTAGAGTTTACAAGCCCAAGATAACAGCAACACATTAACAATTCAAACATTATAGGCATGTCAGAGGAATAAGGAATTATTATAGCACTAATCTTATCAGTTATAGACAATTTACATCCACAGGGACACAGCTGGAATACACTGGGGAGCTTCAAACAACACTATTCTAATAAAGAAAAAAAAGAAATAAAAATAACAACAAAGAAGAAAAACATCCTTCTAAATAAGTCTGGGAGGACAATATAACAAGAGTCTCCAGGCAAATATCACAATAACAAACTGCGTGAAATAAAACACTTTGTTGACAAAAAGAAAATTAGAGTTCTCACCTTCTTAGCTTAGTGTGAAGAAATATAAGGTATCACCTGCCTTGAATGTCCCAGAAGAAAGAGCGAACTTGAGGAACTGAAAAATATGCCTGTTGGGGGTGAGCCATATGGCACAGTACAATGTTTTTTTCCAAAGTGTGGTCCAGGTGTACATAAGATTATTTTTTATGAGGTCAAGAATGAAGTGTTGGGGTTGGGGAGTGTGTGTATGTATAATCTTCTATTTATGGCTAGCGATACTGATTTTCCACTTCTGGCAGCAATCCAATTTTTTTGTTTTTAATATATGTATTTAATGTAAAATGTGATTCTATTTAAGAAGCAATCAGGTTCTCTCTACCAACCCCTATGCAGTAAGGTGACTGGCCTTCGCTAACTTTAGTAAAATGTTTGGAGGTTTATTCTTTGGTTTAATCTCCGCATTGAGGAATACCACAAGAAAAAAGAGAAAGGTTAAGGAAATTTGTGCAATAAATACCCAACTCTTTCCCCCACTCAGCTCCCAGGCAGCCAAGCATTCATTCACCCATTAGGCACAAAGTTAGACAAATCTTCTTTAAAAATCTGACCAGCAAAAGAGGAAAAACAAAGATACGAAACATCAGAGGGGTCTTAATTAAAAATCCTCGTCAGTCAGATAACCCCATTTTGAAGTCAACAAGACTCACTCATGCATTCAAATCAGCGTCTTATACCCACATTTTAAAATATGGATAAACACCCAAAGATTATCAGACATCAGAGAAAAGCTTTTAACATGAAAGACAGAGACAAATTAAAAAACAAAAGAAAACACAACAGGGTACCTTAAGAGAAACAGACTATGTAAAGAGAAAAAATATTCAACAACTTAAAAAAAATTAATATCTTCAGAGAGGAAAAAAATTCATGAAATAAAACATGATATTACAAAAGGAACACAGAGGAATTTTTTTTAAGTTATTGAAATTTTTTTTTTTAAAAAGTGATATCAGAAATTAAAAGTAAGAGAAGGCCAAACAATGAAACTGAAAATAGAACAAAAAAGGTCCGGAAAGTGAAAAAAAAACAAAAAAACAGAGGGGGAGGTAATCATAAATGAACAAACTGAATAAAGTCTCCCAGGAATGAAAAAGCACGGATGTCCAGACTGAAAGGGCCCATCAAGGTTCTAGCACAGTGTTTAAAAACAGGCCCGTGTCAATGCACATCATCATGAGGTTCCAAAAAACTGGAATTTTAAATACTTTACAAAGTTTCAGATTTAAAAAAAATCACATAAACCATATACAAAAGCTCAGAAATCAGAATGATATTTGGCTTGTCCGTGGCAATCCTGCAAACCAGGAGAAACATAATCATTAAATCTAAGAAAAATAAATGAGTTTTACAGGAAAGAAAGGTAATCACTGCTGACTGCAAAGCTGGATTTGAACAGCATTTATATATCATGGTAGTATAAGAACTGAATACTGATTTACTAAAATTAAAATATAACTTATAGGTTGAGACATATGAATTATTATTTTTGTACATAAAAGACCACCGATGGTTCAATCTGTCAAGGACATGACGGACAGGAAGGGTGGATGGGTGGGTGGGTCAGGGTATGTGTGTGTGTGTGTTAGGGTCCAAAAGAAGGGCATGCTAACATAATGCTTAAAACTAAAAATCAAGATGCAGTAAAGTAAATATACTATCTTTAAATAAATGCAGGTAAATATTGAAATAACATGTTTAAAGAGGTAAATGTAGTTGCCTATGGAGAGTGGTTTGTGGGAGAATGGGGGAGCTTAAAGGCTATTTTTTTAAAAAAACCAATCTTGCTGGATTTTTTGACTCTGTACACTATTATATACCCTATTAAGACCTGGTGTAAATATTTGATAATATATAAATTCAATAAAAAGAAAACTTTAAAAAGGCAACTATTATCTTTTTACAGTTAGTTATAACAATGTCTAATTTTTCTTTACTTGCTTTTTGGATAACATGACATAAGCTATCCCTTTCTCAATTATGTTCAGTCTTAAAACTGGTGATAGCATTAATAATAGCAGAGCCTTTTAAATCACCATTTTGAGGACTCATTTTTAATGGTATATATATATATATATATATATAGAGAGAGAGAGAGAGAGAGAGAGATAAAAACATACCTAATAAAGTGGGTGCTAAACAAATGAGTACACATGGACATAAAGCTGACAATAATAGATAATGGGGACTCCAAAAGGAGGGAGGGTGGGATGGGGACGAGTATTGAAAAATTACCTATTGGGTATAATGTTCAGTATTTGGGTAACTGGTACCCTAGAAGCCCAATCCCCACCATTATGCAATTTATCCATAAAGCAAACCTGCACATGTATCCTTTGGACCTATAATTTTTAAAAAAACAGAAAATACGTTTAAAAGAAAAAAGAAGAAACATAAGCAATAGATTGAAACATGTAACACTGTTTTTGTAGATCAAAACTATATATAGTTCAATCTAATAAACTGGGAGCTTGAGGGATGAGAAAGATGTGTATGCGTATATGGGAGAGTTTGCTAAGATTTTTAAAAAATGTTTAAAAAATAAACACAAAATGATTATTTCAGATGTCTTTACTTACCCCAAAAGAAAAAGACAATTCCAGCACATCCGCTGCCCAACCCAATTCTATATCCTGTAAAGAATATAACCTTGTGTCTATCATTTATAAAAACCTCCTTCATCATTTAAAACCCATCTACATCCTTCATAACCCATCTATATCCTTCTCCCTAACCACTTACTTATCATTGTAAGAGCAACATTTGCTAAAAAGTCTCCTTAATACTAAGAAATTATAGGCAGACCTTGAGTCTCAAGATGTTATATGACATATGATCTTTCTGACTTATATTCTCACCACTCTTTAGAAGAAATGACAGGCCAGTGTGTTCACAATCCACATACATTGACAGCATTATTTTGTCAGTATCTTTCCAAAATGAGCCAACTGCCCTGCGTATGAATGAGACCTGTAGTAAATAAACATCTGATAATGATTTTTAAATGACATGAGTCAGATCTCCAGACCTTTAATATTATTCTATTTTCATTAAACAGTATTTATCAGCCACCTAGTGCCCAAGGCACTTTCTAAAATACCACAAAGGCAAAATCCCTGCCTGGAAGGTACATGCATCCTATTAAGTACTACTGTGAGCCCATTAAATAAAGTATAATATTGCTGGCATTTCATAATGAAAGAAATAGAAAGTTGTGATATACAACGGGGAGAGGAGAAGAGGAGAAAACCTTGGGTGGTCATGCTAGAAAAAATAACTCGCTCTAGGAGTCAAGAGAGACTTTTTGAGAATACATGTTATAACTTGAGTATTCATTTTTGTATCCCTACAGCCCAGCACAGAAAAAACGTGGCAAATCTCAGAAATGCTCAAAAAACATTTGCTATATTAACCTAAAGACTGAACTGTGCCTATCATAGCACCCAATGAGGCAAGAAAGTAAAGTCCAAATAATCTCTGGATACAGGTATGTTGGACGGCCAACATAATGAAAGTAACAGCATCTTTTCTAAGAGCAGCAGCTCCTTACCTGTTGTTGTACTGGTACTTGCTGTACCACCTGCGTAGGCACTGCTGCTTGACTAGCCACAGATGTTTGTAAAGTCACTGTTGAACCTGTGTCTGATCCAGTCTCTGATGTCTGCATGATGGTCTCTGAAATGGATTAAAATGAAATTAAAGTTTAATAGCTACTCCTACATGACTAGTTTCCTTACAATTGTTCGTAATATCCTTTGCTGAAACTAACTTTCAATTCTCATAATATAATCTCTTATTCCAACATACTACCATGACAGTCCTGCATGTTTATAGTCATTTTGACGACTGATAAATACAGAAAATTGCTAATCCACATTCTTTAAAAAGAATTCGCATTTGCACCTCTTATCCTGAGACTATCCAGATAAAATTTCATTGAAAGCTACCTTCTATCTCATCTGTTATAAATTGTTTAAATCCCTTTATAAACTATCATCCAAAATTATGTCAAAATGCTCTTAATTTCAACACAAACCCTACCTCGATGTAAATGTCATAACTTCTACTTTCAAGACACTTTTGTAGGCTATTAGGATGCCACCAGAGTATAATTTAGAGTAAATCATTTCTAAGGTCCTTTCCAACTTTAAAACTTACTATTTGGTAATCAAAAACAAAGTATATCTAAAAGCTAACTGATACACCCTAAACTTAGCCAAAGGCTCAAGTTCACTAATTTTGTGTACAGTATAATATGGTACTAAAATCAAAATTCAATTATAGTCTTATACAAAGCCACAAATCAATAATATTTAATACTATTGAAAGATGGGGAGATCACTATCATGTAAATGAGATTTGTAAACAAAGACATGAAACTACTTTTTCTCATTCACAATTCAACATGCCACGTTTCTCAGTTTCGCCTGACCTACTAATATAGGAATAAATTTTGCATTGTTTACTCTAACAAGTATGCTTTCTCAGGCTTCCTGGCCTTGACATCCCCTTTTACTACTTATGCATTCAACAAAATAAATATGAATTTCCTTGCTATTGAGCAAAGACCAGATTTCTAATTTTCTTTCCTGGGGAAAGGAGCAAGAGAAATAGTGTTTAACTAGTAGCATAAGAAAAATACTGCATCATGGTTTAAATCTATACAAAATATAGTGAACATTAATTTTCCCAAAGAAATTTTTGAAAGAGTATTCAGTTTTTCAAGGAGAAAATTAACCCCTCTTGGCATCTTTTGTCACAGCATGACTTCTAATTTTTTCTCCAAAACCTTCAATTATATTCAATTTCAAAAACGGACCTCTGAAGACAACACATCTATTCTTCTTATTTTAAAAACGGGGAAACTAAATCCCAGAGAAAAGAGACTTGTTCAAGGTGACAGGAGTATACTTGGGACTGGGCTTTTTCACTCGAAATCTATGCTTAATTTTCTTTCTAGACTTTGACACTGGCATCTTTTTAGGTGATTATTTTCTCACTCTTTTGTTAGTCAAACCCTAAAGCAGTACAATAAACCTTGTAAATACAAAAGGTAGTAACAACTAACAGTAACAATTAGCATTGATTGTTTGACATATACTAATGATTCTTTTAAATGCTTGATACATTCATTAATTTAAAAATTAATCCATGTAACAGCCCAATTCAGTTGGTATGACTATAATCTGCATTTATAGATGAAGAACCTTAGGCACAAAGAGCAAAGATGGCTAGGGGTTTACAAAATAAAAGGAAAGTGATAAAGACAGTGGCTAATACCCCTGGATGGGATAGCTAATGCTCAGCTCCAGCATATCGTCAGTATGTGAGAAACTTCCATTTTCCAAAAGAAGCTGAAAATCCAGATTTTTATGTGAAATCTCACCAACAATGGGTCATTTATTTAAATGTAGTACTGATCAAACACACACAGATACACACACACACACACACACACACACACACCCTTTGAACTAGCATTAAGATCACAGAAATGACCAAAAATGTTTAAGAATGTCAGTACTTTTTACTACACAAAATACTTGCCTAATAAGCATTACTGGAAGACCAATAGTTCTCAAAATTTGGGGAGAGAATACACACGTTAAGAACCCAATCTGTGCCTCTTCCTTTTTCTTCTATCTTAGATGGTGGGGGGAAAAATGCCCTTTTTTAAAAAGAAAGCAAAAGCCAGGGTCCTTTGATTTAGTATATATTTATATGCCATTTGTGCTATAGCAGAGGAACTATTAGTAAGAGTGAAGCAATGCTTTTCTGCAAAGAATAAGGAATGGACCAGACATTAGATATCATCTTCTGTGAGGTTTTTTTCAGCCTCTCTTGCCAACTCCAAGATGGCTGGTGGCCTCTGTCAAGTTTAGGGTGCAGATGAGGAAGACAGCATTGCCAGTTATAGCTTCTCCTTTAAGCTGCTCAATTAAGAGTAGAAGAGTTTCTTACAATCGTGTCACTCGCACTAAATCTGCCTCCTATTTCTCCCAGAGCTGGCTGGGAACGTTCCAGAGGCTAACTTGTTTGTGCATACACTGTATTGCAGACTAGTCTACATACTCTTTTGGCATATGACCCATACTTTGACATCTACTGTTTTAGATTAAAGACACCAAAGAACATAAAGAAAACAGTTCTCTTTAAAAATTAAACCTACCTTTAAAGTTATTCTTAACAACTCTCAATAAGTCACCTGGAAGAGTGTATCAGAAGAAAAAGGCATAGATTTGGAAACTGGCTTTCTATGGAATATATTCGACTCCCAGCTCAGGTTTTGTTTGACTCAGAGTAATTATAAAATTCTTCATTGCTAACATTAAAAAATCAGAAAACTTTGTATTAAAAAACAAATTTCCAGGCCGTGTGTGGTACGTCATGCCTGTAATCCCAACACTTTGGGAGGCCAAGGTGGGTGAATTACCTGAGGTCAGGAGTTCGAGACCAGTGTGGCCAACATGGTGAAACCCTGACTCTACTAAAAAACAACAACAACAAAAACTAGCTGGGCATGCTACTGGGCACCTGTAATTCCAGCTACTAGGGAGGGTGAGACAGGAGAATTGCTTGAACCTGGGAGGCAGAGGTTGCAGTGAGCTGAAATCGCCCACTGTACTTCAGCCTGGGCAACTACAGCAAAACTCTGGCTCAAAACAAAACAAACCTCCCCCAAAAAAATTTTCCAGAATTTCTTAAAACATATGAAAAATTTAAAAAGGTGAGCACATATTATGTGTTCTACAGGCAAATTATTTAAATGGCTATACTCTATTCAATTGCCTGGCCTCTACAGGCATTTGAGTTTGTGACTCTTTTGAGGTTAACCAGAAACCTATTTCTATAAATAAAGGTTGAAAGTAAAAATTTGCTTTTTGGGTTTAAAACAATATTGATAACATTTATACTAATTTTACACAGGAAAGTAGTACCCAAGCTTAGACCATTTTACTGCTAGAAATGTATCACTAGATTAAAACTGTAATTTTACTCATTTTAAAGATGAGTTAACTGAGGCCCAGAAATGTTACATCACTTACCCAAGGCCATATAGACGCTGCACAAAGAGAAGTAAAGACAGTAAAGAAAAGCAAACTGATGAATTTTTAGAATGAGATAGGAAAAAAGAAAAAGATGTCAACTATTTAATAGGAGGAATCTTTATGGAATAGAGTAGGGGAAATAAGATAGGTAAAAAACAATGGTTATAAAACATAAAACCAGAGAGTCATGGAGAACTTTCCACCTAGCCTCTGGCTCTATCTACAAACCATATTCAAACTATTACATAAAGCCCAGTCCTGCACAATGAGTATAACACCAAGTATCAACCAAGTCCTAGTGTATTTTCTGTTGGTCCCCAAATTACTGCTCATAGGTCTGATCTACTTGGCTCCTGGACTACAGGGTTGATAAAAACTTAGCCTCTCTTTTGTGCCTCCATTTTCCTTCATAGAAACAATCTAATTTTACTCTTATTTCACTATCTTTGGCCTTGAGAAGGAGGCTCTCTTTGTCAACCTTTATGATATTAGAGGGTATCAATCACATCTCTTCCACAGATCGACTGATAAGATCATAACTGGGGCTCTCGTTTAATAAAGTCCTTTCTGGTGCCAGGCACTAGATTAAGTGCTTTAAATACATTTTCTAGTTCAATCTTCAGAAGAGCTCCTAATGGATGGTTATCCCCATTTAACAAATAAAGAAACAGAAGCACAAAGGAATTTAATAACTTGCCCAGAGCCATACAACTAGTAAGAGAGACAGCTTGAATTCACTTAATGTCTGTCTGACTCTAAAGTGCGTGATGTCAACCGCTATATAGACTGCTTTGCAACATCATGACAATAGGGCTTCGAATGAAAAGCTAGAAACTGTTGGTCTGGACAGCAGTCTTTGAGGTTCTAAATCCATATTATACGGCCTATACTTCCAATAATAATAGAAGATATCCCCTCTCTCTGATACCAAAGTTAGGAAGTATTTCTTCTCTTTCAACTGAGGCCATAAAACCCAATTAGTATGTATTTTTCCAGAGGCATTTTTACTGATTAATTCTGAAGACCTGATAAAACAGCAGATCAATTAGAATGTTAAAGCACATTTGAGGAGTACAACCCTCCTACCAAATTTTGCTAAACAGAGCATTTAAGACCACTGACACATTCATAGTATTCTGGTAGCCTTCCAACATTTCTGCAAAGTAAGGATCGTCACATGAGAGAGGTGTCCTAGCATGTTCCATTTTAGTTTTTGCTTTACTCCCAGCATAATAGCTTATGAGTACATTTGAGATGTTCCCATTCATCAGGCAGTGGTTTCTGGTGTTGTGTTTTGTTTATGTTTGGGAGTAATTTGGTTAGTTTAGTTCCTTCACAGCCTCCTTTCAAGTGATATTTATTTATCAGTCACAAATGCCTTCACATTACCCCATTCTGATAAGTTAAATAAACCCCTGCAGTTTGTCAATGATGTCGCCCATATGTAAATGAGTTGTATATTCTTACAGGAGAGACATGCACAATTTCAGTCTAGTCATCCTCGCCTAATGTGGCTGTCAGGTGTGTCATGAGCAACAGATGCTTGTTTGACAAAGGACCTTTTTATTCTGGCTAATTAAGCAGTTGGACACACCCGCCTGTTAACGGTTCTGCTTTGTACAGCCA